GTTATTGAGATACTGAATGTTTTTCATCATTAAGATATGCAGATCAATTGATCACATTCTAAGCAGTAAGTTATGTTACTGAGATACTGAATGTTATTCATCATTAAAATGTACGGATCAATTGATCATTATACTAAAGAATTATGTTACACGTAAATAATCGGATCAATTGATCATTATACTAAACACGTAAATAATCGGATTTATCTGTATGTGTTCGTAAATGAAATAAATTGGATATAAAAGGAAGTCTGATTTCGAATCAAAACAACTGGTATAGAAAGTTAAAATGTGTACAGCGTACGCTCATTTATATATGAATATGCAGAGTATTTGTAAACTGTTTCCGTAAAATAAGGGAAGCGATTGTACCCATCAATAGGAATAATGTTTATGACAAAAAGGAAGGCCTGTCGCTCCAACTATCAGCAAAGAATAACTTCGAAACACGTCCAGCAATCTCAAGTTGTCATTTCTGATATCATTTCTCTTCTGTTGGAAAGATAGCTCATCTCAAGAATATCATCGTCAAACATTTACCGTACTCAATGTAGTTGATGGCCGCATCAAGGTTTAATACCAGAAAGCCAGACGGAAACAAATATTACTCTTTAAAAGCAACACATCTTTAAATTATTACTGCCATAACATCATCCGAAACTATTATATGGATTACACGTAAGTAGATATAAAGTGTGAGTTCACCTGCACTCGGATTAATTGATCAGTATCAGTTATTGAAAACCATTGATCAACGTAATTTTTTTAAAAAAAGTTTGGTTTATTTAATTACGGCAAAGAACTCAAGTGTTGTCTGCCTAAGAAGAGGGATGCCTTCGTCGAGAACTTCTCTTACACACGTTACATATGGGGAAAACCACGAAAACACCCATGCAACAGCCTGCTCGTCAGGATTCGATCCCCGGACAGAACTACCAGTGTTTAACGTCTTTACCGCTCGGCCGTTGGTGCGCCGAGTGGTAGATCTCATTTATATAATTGTTCTCAAACACGCTGATAGGCTTCAGTATTGACATACAGCCATTTCATAATATTTTTTAAGACTTAACTTTGAAGTGAAAATTATTTCTAAGCTTCGTATGATTATGACTCTAAAGTAATAAACCGTTATTAGAATATTTTTAAAAAATGCAAAAATTATATTACACCCCAAGGGACGTTTTTTAACGTTTTGTGCGTTATTTTTATTTATTAAATATCATGTTCTTCGCACTTAAACCACGTAAAATTCAATTCAGCAGCAAAATCACAAAATATTCCGATAGATAGTCTAGCGCGCTGGAGATAAAAATGTATGTATGTATGTGGGAAACACAATGTGGAAAACACAATGCGAGAAACATACATACATTCATGCAGATTCTTCATTATTTAATTTCTTTAAATATACTGCAGGACGATAATATTTGGTGGTAACAATTAAAAAAGTGATTCGCAGTTTATAGCGAAATGCCACAAAATGCCATTTTTTAGACTAATAAACATTTTGGGCTGCCGCCCCTTTAGGCTAATGCCGTTTTTTTAGCGTTTGAAAACTTATAAATTACTTGTGTGAAAATCCTTCCGGCAAATCATTTGCAGCAAAATTATATGTTATGCACTAATAAATCAGAAAAGAATATCACTGAATGGCACTCAAGGGGAAATACGAAACTGAAATTATTCTAATTTATTTATTAACTGAGCTTTGGAAGCAAGTTGAAAATGACGTCAAATATGGAAAAAATTGAAATCTTTGGCAATTTTTGTCGTAAGTCAAATTTTTAGTTTTTATACCTTTATAGTAAATATAAGAATTTCCTAAATCTTCAAATTGCTGCTACCAAACATTAGAGCCCTGTAGCATATTTAAAGAAATTAAATAATTTAGGATCTGCATGAATGTAAGTATGTTTCTCGCACTGTGAAAAAACAACGGTACCTAGAGACATCTAATATTGAATAACGTAGTCCTCCACTCGAATATGGGCATCTGAAAGCCCAAATTTGTAATTTGTTTTATTATTTATTTCATATTTTGTACCACTTTAATGAATTTTTAATTAACAAAGTCAACAATTTCAAAGCAAGCAATGGCGACACTGTATGGGGGGGGGAGTTTTTATCTCCAGCGCGACACTGCGTATGGGAAATTCTAAAGATATGCTCTGATTAAATATTTTTTGATATTGCAGTTGGATTGAATTTTATCATTTAAGTGCGGAAAATATGATATTTAATAAATGAAGTTAACACACAAAAGGTTAAAAATCCGTTTTGAAATTGTTGCTACCAAATATAATCACCCTGTATTACATTTAAAGAAATTAAATAATGAAGAATCTGAAAAAATGTAGGTATGTTTCTCGCATTGTAATGAATCAACGGTACTTACAGACCGTTGATTGATATTTTGTATCACTTTAACGAATTTTTTATTAACAAACTCAACAATTTCAAAGCGAGCAAAAGCAGCATTGTGCGGGGGGGGGGAATCATCTTTATCTCCAACGCGCTAATTTCTTCCCATGATAAATGCCTTCAATAAAACAAAAGAAGGCATGCTTAAATTTAATTAGGATTAACAGTTTGCTGGATATCATTTATATGCTTTTAACTAACTATAATATTTTTTGGATTATTAAAATCTTGTTCAAAGCAACTGCATTGCTACAATTTAATAGTTTTGTTCAAAACTTTGGGCTTAAATTTTGAGTAACATTCTCTAGCTCATTTATTATAATATCTGAAGAACATTACATATTCCTCTGCCTCTATGTGGGTTAGTTCGTGTTATGGGTATGTTCCCCTTTACCATAGATAAACTTAATTTCGTATTTTTCACTCAGAGAAATGTTTTTCCGATACGGTAGGGATTATAACCCCTATCTGTTTAGTAAAAAGAGGCATTTAGGACGTTTCACTGAATTTTTTCACCTCAGGTTTTCCCTAATTATCCCTATCAGTTGTAAATACCTTGAAATTGTGTAGTTTTCAAAATCTTCAAAATGATAGCTCGATACACTCAAGTGAACTAGTTAAAAGATTGTCTCGTTTTGCTTTCGAACATCAGAAGAATTAGTAATGGAGATGAGTGTAATCTTATTCAAACATCTCGTTACAACACAGTTTATTTACAAATCTAATAAGTGACAACTCTAGTTTCAACATCTCAAAACAACACTCAAAATATAAATGGCGTAAGATCATACTCGTTAATTTCTCAAAATGCATGTGAAATGCAACTCGAAGCCATTTTCTCCTTTTATCACAAAAAGAACAAGTTTAAAATGTAAATATAAAAACCTCCGCTGTTGCCACACGTAATTTTCTAAATTACATCAAACGAAGGTAATACTCGATGGAGGTTCAACTTGATAAAGTTACTTATTCTAATGCAAAGAATAATTCTGCGAATTCTTTTATCATTCCGCCATCAGTAACTGCTGTATTTTTCATTCAAGACATCAAAAATATTATAAAATATTATTATGATGTGCGTTTCGTAGCAAGTTGTGTGAACAAATATTTCTTTGCAAGTGGAATTAACGGAACTACAAAAGTCTGAAAAATTACCCTGCATCTGAATAAAAAATTAATGCACATAATTCAAACTGCACGAAGCGATTTGGATTCTATAGATGAATTCCTCGTTCGTAATGAGTCAACTAATTTCTTTGACTCCTCACGAGAATTCATCTAAATAAGTGAATCGTATGTATATATATATATATAAATATTCGTCTTTATAATATTCCTTATATATCACCCATCTCTATTCATCCTATTATAAGTTAAACAAATCTAATTAAAATATTGAAATTTGTAAGGTAGAAAGAAACGAACTCTCAAGAATTTCTGAAAAAGTTCTGTTTTCAGAGGATATCGTATACCACATTTGGATCGGAGGAAGAAAGAGAAAATAGTAAATGATTTGGAGAAAAGAAATTTCAGAATTTTTCACCAAATATAGTAAAAAATAGAAGAGATTCTATTACTCTTTAGTCAATATGTAAGATATATGAAAGAATTGTCTACGCTTATTTGAAACTAGAGATGGAAAAACGAGGATCTTTAAGCTAATCTGGTTATTTTTCAAAATATTTTACTGCATAAGAAATCACAGTAATAATTAAATCATAACAATTAATTTACGTAAATTTACGTTAAAAATTCGTTTCTATAAATCTCAAAATGGTCGATCAGTGGTTTAGTACTTAAGGCTACTGAATTTCCAAACGAAACGGAGAGTTCATCCCTTCTCGTTTCGCAGTAATTAAATAGCATACCTGAAGAGATTTTCCTCATGTTCAACATCAAAACTGTTCCTTAGAATACATCTAATTTCCTGAAAAAGTTCTCCATAAAGGCTTCTCATCTTAAGGCATGCGAATTCAAATATCCGCATTAAACCCATTTTTTCATAATATGGCAAGGAGACTAAAAGTAGTTTTAAAGGAAAGTGTGGCAGAATAAAATATTAAAAGAATAAGTTATTTACATAGCTCTTATTTGTGATCCACGTTTTAAGGTATTGTATTGGAGCTCCCTTTGAATTTTTTTTTTTTTTTTTTTTTTTTTTTTTTTTTTTTGTATAATATATACATATATATATACGAAAACAATTGCCTACGTTTCTACAATATTTGCAGAAACTACTAAACGTAGGCAATTGTTTTAGTTGCATGTCGATTATGTTGTCAAAATAATTCATAAATACAGATTACATTCAATAATAAATATAGTTTGATTAGTTTTTCGCGCTTTTTTAATATCGATATACTTTCCGCTTATGATATTAATATTTTCTTTTTAAAATTTCATTGATATTTCTACGAATACATATCCACTATCTTCTAATCTGTATCACATCTCCAAGCGAGATTATTTCTTGGATAAGCCTTTGACACAATATTGAATCATTGTCAATACGTGAAATACATACGCTTGCGCGTGTGAAATCATCGTATGATTTCCTTCCTTCACTGTACCACTTCGAGCGTTGATGAATTTCCCGGTAGCCAAGTTCTGATTCGTTGCTTGTGAAGAATAAGTAGGACATTACCTACTCAACTTCTTACTAGTCATGGTTGTGTGCATTCATTGAAAGTTGTTTAAATTTTGGGCGTTTCTAATCGCAACTTCTCTTTTAATGTTCCTTGCTTGTTTGTAAACATATAGATGGAAATACTAAAAAGTATAAATACTTGGTTTTGGAATGATTATGTTTGGCTACCTCCAAATATCACATGGGAACACATCAAAGATACTAGAACTGTGAACTATGCGCAATTTAGTGACCTGTACTATGCATTTCAAGTAGCCTTAGCTCTTTTGGTTGTGAGATATATTTTAGAACAGTAAGTAATTAGCATGTTTTATATTGTATAAAAACCCTTTAGATAGCAAGATATAAGCGAGATGTTTATTAATTCTCTTATTTTTGAAGATATAAATTAGTATTCTAATGAATTTTAATCTTTATTACAAACACCGGTTGCATGCTTAATTATGAATTGAATTTCTTAAGTAGGTTAAACTCCCATTCAGAATAGAACGCAGTTTTTGTTCACGATCAATTTTTCATGTGAAATTTAAATAGTATGAGTTTATTTTCAGATTTTTTTTTTTTTTTTTTTTTTTTTTCTGTAATTTATAGTGGATCTTATAACGGCCGGTATAAATTTTTAAGTAAATGATTAATACTTAGCATTTTCAGAATGTCGTCCAGGCAAATATAATTTAATAATGTAATTGATATATGCATTTATTTTAGAAATAATACCATTAAGAAACTTGATATTAATGGTCAAGTAATGTGAAATATTTTTATACAGAAATTATGAGGAATTATTTGTTTTAGACATGATTGATGACTGATATTCTGATTAATCATTACATTCTAAATAGAAATCTGCCATCGTTTCATCTAATTTTACATAAAATATCTTTCGATTTTACAATTTCAAGATTTTGTAAATCTTATTTTTATCAGGTAATTCTGTTATCAGAAATAAATTCGCATTGTAACATAGGCAGTCGGGTTTCATGAGCAATAGTATCTTTCATTCCAAAATTCTGTTTTTAAATTTAATTTTGAAAGTAGATTATTTTATATTCACATTATACTTTTGAAAATCAGGAGGTTTATCAACTATTGAACTTGCTGATTTGCAAGGAAAATGTAACTTTGATGTAAACATTAATTAGGTACTCTTCTGTTATTGGAACTGGATTCAGAAATGTGTGTGTTCTTATATGCATGTACATGCACACACACACTTTTATGCACTCATACATACATACATTTCTGAATCTGGTCCCCATAACAGCAGAGTACCATTAATTATTCAGTGTCAGTTTTAATATTTAGTTTTCTAGTTCAATTATATTTCAATATTAGCAATAATGGGAACTACTCTTATATATGCTCTCGCTTGGCGACAAATTTCTCTCCATGGTGCCATATTATTATCTAAACTTTTGGTAAAAGTTTACAATTGGGTGCCCCTTGTTTTTTGGCAATTCTTTTTTGACCCAAGATCAGCGCCACGAAGGCACATTTTCAAGATGGCCGCTACACAAAAACCAAATAAGAAGTCAAAGAATTGCACAAACTCTGTGTTCATGTACACATCGATCTGTTTTCACTAAAAAAAAATCTTAGAATTGCACAAAGTAGACATTGTGCACAGCCTTAAATTTGTCCATGCACCCATCAATCTATTTTCATTTAAATAAAATCTGGAAGCTAAAACAAAAACTATTAACCAGAAGTGAGGTTTCATCGCCAAAATTAAAAAAAAATTGTCGCTAATTGCTAATTGTCGTGTAGAATTGGGTGCCCCACCCAATTCTACACTAGAGCCAAATTTTTTGTATACGTTTCAAACTTTAAGCCTGAAATGTCTCTAAAAACTCGGTTTTTGCACATGCAAAACCCATGTTTTGAACACACAATTTAAGCTAAAAACAAAAACAGAAAATTTAGATAGCAAAAGCGTAAAGTTTCTAACGAAGAATATTTGACAAGAATCCATGTATACAGACAGTGATATGTTTTAACTTAGAGAAACATCTACGAATTGCACAATCTAGGCAGCGAAGGAATCGTAGAACTACGCACACCTTGCTTAATAAACTAACATAACAACAATAAATTTCAAAGAATACCATCTACACAGCATTCTGTTTGAACTATAAAAAAAAAAAAAAAAAACTACAAATTGCATGAGCTAGGCATTGCGCTCAAATGAACAAAGTAAACTAAAATAAATTATAAACAATTCAAAAAACAACAATAAAAACAGAAATTCTTAGTAAAAAACAATGAACATAACATTCTACAAAATAAAAACAATAAAATAAAATGCACTTACTGTAATGGATGTTACTTTGAACAGTAGAACGGAGTTTTAACATGCCACCACATACTCTCTATGATATTTATATGACAGCCAGACTTGCTGTCCACAAAATTGATATGGTTCACAAATAAATGTTCAAAACCTTCGGATTTAGGGTTTTACTTTGCAAACAATCTAAAATATGCGACTGAAATCTTGCCACCACGTCTCTCATTGCAACATAGGCTATTTCAAAACAGGCATGACACGAACCAACGAGCAATTAAATCACTCCAGCAAAAGAGTTAAGTTTCAACGTCAAAAGGGTTGCCATACAAATAACATTATCCCCAAATCCTTTGCACCGAAAACCAGCGCAGAACACATATCCCCATGTTTGGTGATCTTAGGGTGTATATAAGAGTAGATCTCAATAATATTGATGTGTATAGTTAAATTTAGATTTTTATATATATATAAGTTGCATATTTGCATATTTTTATTGAAAGTATAATTCTAGCCAAAATGCACTGGAGCTTAAAATAAAAAAGTTCCATCATACAACTGAGTTGCAATATTAACAGAAAATTTTAATGCCCCATTTTGTTTAGTAGTTTGTAAAACTGAGGCTGATGTTTCCTGGGTAGAGCAAAATTAGTGGAAAATTTTCAGCAACCGAGGAAGACAACCCTCTTTGTCAAAATCAGGAAGAGGAGTTTTTATGGACTGAAGTAATTCGTTCAAAATGTCTTTAAGTTGATTAGAAGCCCCAGCCCACAAAAAGAGCATTTGTGATGCGATTCATTTATGACAGTATTAGAGTCGTGTGATGAATACTTATATTTACTTTTCATTTACACCCTTGCACTATACAGTGGTTAGGAGAAACTGACTGCTAATTTGAATTGCAGGATGAGGGTTTATATTGCATCGGTTATATATATATGCCCTTTCGGCTTTTTGCGAGTGTGGTATCATACCCCCATGATAGTGTACCATGTGCAGTGTTCTCGGTGATGAAACAGCTAAATTTTGATTGGTTCAGTTATTCATAATGCTTGAAAAGGAAGTGTTTGGTCTTTTAAAAAACTGAGAAAGAAAGCTTAGATATTGTCCTCTCTATCATTCTTCTGTTGTACCATACCTTCTTATTATGAACTTAATTACCGTTCATTTGAATAATTATTTCTCTTAATTGTTTCAACTTTTAGTTTGTAATTAATTTACTCATTTTAACTGTATTCATTATTTACTTAATTATTATCACTTTAATTTATTTATATATAATTCTGGTACAACTCTGATAAACGCCCTAATTTCACCAAATGTGGCGATATGTGTTTTGCGCTGGTTTTTTGGCGCGATTGCGTTTTGTATGGCAACCATGTCGATGTTGAAAAATCTTTTGGTGGAGTAGTTTAAAATTGCTAGTTGGTTCGTGTCGCGGGTGTTTTTGAAATGGCCTATGTTGCGATGAAAGACGTGGTGGGAAGGTTTCAGCCGCGTATTTTAAATTGTGTGCAGAGTAAATTTAGTATGAAAAGGTACGATGTTGGAGTTGTTAACGAGTCTTTTGTTCACAGATGTATTTATGGGGATCGTAGTGTATTTTTGGAATTTCTGTGGGAGTTGGGACTTTTAAAACGGAGTTTGACGTGTCCGAAATGCGGAGTTGATATGAGAACTCGGACGAAAAATGGTGTTTCTGATAGACTTGTGTGGGTTTGCAGTAAAATTGTTGCTAATAAAGTATGTGGGTGTCAGCGGAGTTCAAGGTTTGGATCTTGGTTTTCGTGTAGCAAGTTAACGTTGGAGGAAGTTTTTATTATTACTTTCGAAATTTTGAATCGTAGGAAGGCATGTGATATAGCAAAATCATGGAAGTTTTCTTCACAGACGTTGTGTGATTGGCGAAAGTTATTAACGAATGAATTTTGGACTTTGTATGCTCTGTATCTGAGAAGATAGGGGGGAGAGATAAAGTGGTGGAAGTGCACGAATCGAAATTCGGCAAAAGGAAATATCATCGTGGCCATCCTGTTGAGGGGCAGTGGGTATTTGGAGGTATGGAAAGAGGGTCTGGGAGATTATTTTTAGTAGCTGTGCATGATAGAAGTAAGGAAATGCTGATGCAGTGTATTAAAGAGTGGATTGAGCCTGGTACAACTATTTTTTCCGATGGCTGGAAATCCTACAAGGATTTGAGAAAAGAAGGTTTTGAACATTTATTCGTGAACCATAGTTTAAATTTTGTGGATAGTGAGTCTGGCTGTCATATAAATAGTATAGAAAGTACGTGGCACCATGTGAAAGCTTCATTACCTACTTATAATAGAAAATGTGATTTTGAATTTTATTTGGCTGTGTATATGTTTTTCCATTACTGTCATGAAATTAAAGAAGATGCTTTTAATAAATTTCTAGAAATTGTAAGATATGTTGAATGGGAAAAATTAAAAATTTCTTTGTAGTTTATTTGCAAAAAGTGTTTGTGTTTTTTGTTTTTGTGAAGTTTGAAATTGATATTTCTGCTTTTAAAAGAAGCTTTCATTATGGTAAGTGCATTTCATTTTATTGTTTCTATTTTGTAGAATGTTATATTCATTGTTTTTTGTATGAATTTCCGTTTCTGTTGTTGTTTTTTGAATTGTCTGAAATTTATTTTAGTTTATTTTCTTGATTTGTTTTTAGTGTAGATTGTGCAATTCGTAGATGTTTTTTAAAGTTGAAACAGGACGCTGTGTACATGGTATTCTTTGAAATTTATTGTTGTTATGTTAATTTATTAAAGGGAGGTGTGCGTAGTTCGTAGCATTCGTTCGTTGCCTACGTTGTGCCATTGGTAGATGTTTTTTTAAGTTAAAACATGTCGCTGTGTACATGGATTCTCGTCAAATATTTTTGGTTAGAAACTTTACGTTTTTCCTATCTAAATTTTTTGTTTCGGATTTTTAGCTTAAATCGTGTGTTCAAAACGTAGTTTTTGCATGTGCGAAAGCCGTCTTTTTGGAGGC